AGGGCATAATGCCACTTGGTTGATTGTTAATAGACTCACAAAATCGGCTCATTTTCTAGCTATAAAAAAGTTGGCAAAAATCTATATATAAGATGTTGTAAGGCTACATGGTGTGTTGAAAAGTATAGTGTCTTTATAAGATCTGAGGTTTACATCTAAATTCTGGGTAGCTTTGCAATGAGCCATGAGTACCAAGTTGAGATTCAATATAGCATATCATTCACAGATGGATGAATAGAAGGAGCAAACCATATAGACTTTGGAAGACATATTGAGAGCCTGTGTATTGGTGTTGAAGGAGCAAACAAGTATTGGACCCAAGCTTTTCAAATAAAATATTTGATTATGATTTAGTGCGTGTGAGTAGTGATTGTGTTAATCCTTTCCTATATCTAGTGGATATAAGAGAGGGTTACATGGCGTGCGATGGAAATTTGCCCTGCAAACTATCTTATGACAGTAGAATTTACTGTCATAAACATCATGAGGCATTGTGTGCCATGCCACGGTACATGGCACAAAGAAGAATAGAATATATTGCTCTTACCATATACTGTGGTACATAGTGGTGTAAGCCCCAACGCATGGCACGTTTCACAGAAAAATAATTGTACCTTTGCAAGTCTTGAATTGTGTGTTTACACTTCTATTAACCCTCTCATTTGAATATATGTTAATGAAGTTGGGATCCTGTATTTTGAAAACAAATCGAGAATTTTTACTCTGATCTTGTATGTTTAGTGTTTGATGATTATGTGTTAGGAATGGTAAAGTTTAAATTAAAGTAAGGACTTTACATGTAGCATATGAATTCAATCAAATGTAGATGCGAATGTTTAGTTTGATAAGATGATCATGCATGTGAACGTGATTAATTAAGGATTGTATGTATATATTAGTATGTGATTGACAATAATGATAATATTTTGTTTAATTATTTATAGTTTACTTGTTAATAAATAGTTTTGGATTATTTTGGTTACTGAGACTGTCTCACCCTGTAGTTACTATTTTACATGTTCAAACGTTAGTAGTAACAAAGCGAAAGATTTGGTCTAAAAGCAATGAATCTACTATATAGCCTTTGAGATTGTGTAGTGAATTTATAATGTTCTATATATTAATGTTTATGAGTTGCCATGAGAATGCATTAACATATTTTAGTTGCACTTGTATGAGTGTGTGTGGGAGTATTTTAGCCTTGAGATGTGAAAAAGCAATAGTGAGGGCTCTGATACTAGTACAAATACAAGGTTATATGTTTTGTGATTTTATGGTGTGTGAAATTTGGCCAAAAAGTTTATATGTGTATAATTATGAAAAGGCCCTATTGTGATGTGAAAAAGGGCATTTGAGTGGCCAAATTTAAACATGATTGTGCTTTTGTTGATATCGCTACTAAATCACATGAAAAATGTTTCATTGGATGTAATCAAGGCTCTAATGGTGGCTAATAACACAAGGTTATGGGTTGGGATGCTCAGGTGAGAGAAAATGATATAAAAGGGTCATTTTGCATCCAGGTGCTCTATTTTTAAAAGAAATATCAGATTTAGATGAAACTTATGTCATTAATTAGATTGTAAAATAAACTTTGTGTGGGTGCTTGAATTGCTTCAATCAAACAACGTATGAAAAAATGCCCATGTTCGAAGTTTATGTAAAAAAGATGTCAAAGTACCGTTTTTGCTGTTATGAACAGTATGCTGCAATGCATAATATAGAGACATAGTAATGCTATCTATGCCACATGCCGCGGGACATATGGCATATGCTGCGGCATATAGTCCCTTTTGAACAAAAATGAATATTTTTCCTTTATTTTTCTATTGTAAAGTGTTTATGCATTCCTAAATGCTTTTGTTATGTATAAATAGTTATATTTTAAAGGTTTAACATGTTTTCAAAAGATTTTTGGTATCTCAATCATTTTAAAACAATTATTTTTATATTTTAAATATTTGTGATTTATGGTAAATTAAGAGTTTGTCCTAATTACTCTTAGTTGTGATGTGTGGATATAGTTTGATAATGTCAAGATGTATATTACATTTTATGTTGGTAAGAAATAACATTTATATTATGTTACTTATATGTAATTTAAGGGACTTAATTTATATTCATTTTTATAAGGTATTTATGGGTTATTTTCTATAATTTCTTAGGTAATTTTTTACAATTTTTAACTTGATCGGTGGTAAAGTAAACTTTTTTAACGGTTGGGTGCTCAAAGCACCATATGAATGTTTAAGATACTAGATGTTCATAAAAGAATAGTTGAAATATGTTCGAGAGCCATGATTAAGAGCATGACAGCATCTAGAAACCATCTTTTAGGTAAGAGTGTAGCCAGTAAGAATAGATGGATAGCTCCAAATCATGGCAGTGTAAAGTGAATGTAGATGGAGCTTTTGCCCAAGCCTAGAACTCGAACGCGTGTGGAAGATTGATTAGAGATTCTAATGGGGATTTTATTTGAGGATTCATGTGCTGACTAGATAATAGGGATGCTCTCTCAGCATAATGATAGGCTTGCATTCACGAACTAAAGCTTGCATGGGACTTAGGTTATCATAAAATTGAATTGGAATCTGACTCTATAGAGGTTATTGAATACATACAATTATGTGACCCAGTTCATTTGGAGTATATGGTCATTACCAAAGCTCAAGCACTTGTACAATGCGACTGAGAGGTTTAGTTGAGGCATGTTCCAAGAGTGATTAATTGAGCCATTGACTGGTTACCAAAATGTGGGTTAGGAGCTTTGCTTGGCTTCTACCAAGTGCTTCAGATTCCTAAAGAACTTGCAAAAATTCTAGATAAGGATTGTAATAATACCACTGGCTATATAGCCTAGTTGGTTTTTGGCTTCGTTTTGTTATCAAAAAAAGAATAGTTAAGAGGTAAAAGCACTCTTTAACACTAAAAATTATCAATAAATATGTGATGGAATATGGATGAGATTTAATTACTTTTATTTAAAATTGTTTTATTAGTATTGTTTGAATAAGGATATTAAATATCCATTAGATTATTTAGGGTTTATTGAGATTTGATTTAGTATCTAGAGATTATTATTATTTCTTTAGTATCTTAGATTTATTTTATCTTTAAGTATTATTTCAAATAAAATAAGATATCTAGACTAGATAGATATCTTATCTTCATCTTTTAAATTATGATTTGATTTAGATTTAGATTTATTATTATTTTATTAGTTTTAGAGCTTTATAAATAATTTTAGAGTTTTTCATTTGTATTCAGCTTTGAGTATTAAATAAGAGTTTTGAAAGTTTCAACCTTCTCTCTATTCTTTCTCTTCCTCCTCCTTTCTCTTTATTTCTCTTTCCCTTTTCCTTCTCGTTTTACATCAATATGACTTTGACTTTTCAACTTCTACAAAAATTTGACATAATTTACTCATAATATTTATGTTATGAAAAGTTGATTTTTTAAACGCATCAAACTCATAATGTGTAATTCATATTCCAATAAAATCTCTTCTTAATTAAGTTGCATATGTTCCTAGAATTAAATGATTTAAATATATTCTTAGAATTTAAAGTTGTAGTAAATTTAAAAAGCTATATTTCTTGTTCACTTAATTTCTTATTTAATTTATTCAATTTATAATTTGTGACAATAATAATATCCCAACACAATTATGACGATCAATTGTCACAAAAAAAAAAAGTAGATCTTATGTATAGTATCTATTTTTTTAAGACAAAAAATTATTCTCTTTTCAAACATCTTTTTTTTATACACTCTTTTCAAATATCTTTATCTGTTTAATAATTAGGCAAAGTTAAATTTTGCTAGTATCAAGTATAGACAAATATATTTTGGGGTCAAAAATTTATAACTCCTTCATTTTACAAATGGAGAATTAAATTGTTAGGAGAGCCGTGGGTCTTATCTTCGCCACTGATTATTGTGTTTGGAATAGAAGAGATAATTGGAAGAAGCTAGGAGATTCAACAACCGATTGATATGCTGCAGAAAACACTGGGAATGAAGAAGCTAGCAGGGAGGCAATAAATACCTGCTAACCGATTGGAAAAAAAACAAGCTTTCAGGGGGGGAAAAAAGGAAGCAAGAATCAATGAGCAATAAGAAAGAAAAAAGCAAAAGAAGGAGTGCAAGAAATTGTAGAATAATTTTTGTGTGTGTATTAATTCCCTTTTTTTTTATAACTGTATTAATTCCATTTTGTTTAAATTCACAATCTCTTCAATTTTAATAACCATAGAAATTTAACGTTTTTATAATCAGCGACTTGGGTGAACATATTTGGCCCCTTTGCTACACTATTTCTGAAAACAAGGAGAGAGTAAATTATTTTAAATGTAATTCTCCCTAATGAAATTGCTTGATTCTTTTTTTTTTTTTTAAGATTTCCCATTTTGGCTGGATTTTGGTACTTAATTGGGCTTTTTTTGGGGCTAGTTAAGGCTTAAGTTTATGCTCACATTGGTTATCAATTTACTAGTTCGAAAACTTGGACTTGGACAAATCGATCCAATCTGATCCGCGTAACAATGCAAAATATCACTCAAATGTCATTAAACAGAATAATCAAGCATTAGGCCTAAGTGAAGCAAATAATCAATATCAACATAGACTAAGGTATACTGACTCATCTCAGCCTCTAGCCAACTCTAGTACACGCAACTCACCAAATAATAAATGTGGTACTATAATCTACAGAGTATCCCATTCATTTACCAAAATATATAGATGCAACAGTTTGCAATGCAATGCCAAGTATTGTGTTGTCGTTTTATAACAAGTGTGACAGCATCAAACCCAGATCTTACAATTTGGTCAGCAATTAAGAGTCAAATCCAATCAAGGAAGGAGAAAAATATTTACTTGTTTCTTTTCGTCCGAACAGAAAATATTACATGTTTGAATCTGGATGAAAATGCTTTTATGTCAGAAAAGAGTTGCAGTTCACAGCAGCCAAGTAGCAATATAAACTTGCAAGACAAGTGTATCATTCTTAAGTCAGATTTGAATGGAAGAGATACAATTTCTGTGCCTGCTATCGATACAAAAAAAAAAAAAAAAAATACACAGTTTCCACAACTCAGTATTACTGACTTCCTAAGAAATAGTTTGTCCAAGTGCATTTTTCCCTAGAGATTTACTGTGGTGTGTCCAGATTCAGCTAATGAATCCATGAAGAATGTAGATAGCCAATCATGAAGATTAAGCCAAGAATACAGTAAAGCTTATACATGAAAGCCTGACCATCTTGTAAAACTTGTAATCTCCTTCCCTTCAGAAACTGCCATTCCTATTCCTCCTCTTCTTCCATCTCCAACACCAGTGTAATACAACCTCCAATCACCTGCATCAGAATCCATTGAAACCAGGTATGGAGATCCTACTCCATCATCATCCCAACAACCTTTCTCCGACGGCTTTAGAACTGCATCATCTTGAAGCCTCACCCATTGCTTCAGTCCATCAGGAGACACAGCCATACCAATACTCCTCCTTCCATCAGCAGCAACACCCTCAAATGCCATCACATAGTTCCCATCCCTCCTGTTTCTGGCTACACATGCATTCATTACTCCGAATTCATCAAAGGAACCGGCTTTTCCTCCTCCTATTATCTTCCCCAGCTTTACCCACCTGATTCCATCCCTTGACCTGGCAATCCCAATAGCATAGTGCCCTTTATCCACATCAAATGAATGGTAGTACATCCTAAGGTCTCCATTTTCATGTAAAACCACTTGTGGTGATGAAATGAACAAAGAATCCCATTCTCCCTCAGACCCAACATCAAATAAGGCTCCACTGTGATGAACCCCTTCAACTCTAGCCCAATGCCTCCCATCTTGGCTTATACACAAACCTGGAAACGACTTCAAGATTCCACCACTTGTTCTATTTTGTTGAATTTTTACACCATTACTGAAATACCCATCTGGGTTTTCCAAAATGAATTCCGAAGAATTGTCAAAAAAATCTATCTTCTCAGAGCTATATCCAGTGTAGTAAAGCCAGTAAACAGCACTAGATGTTCTAACCCTTGAACTTGACATTACCAATACCTCAGAAGGCCTGATGCCTTCTGTGTCAAATGCCCACCAATCCTTACCACAATTCAACACAACACCCACTTCTGAACTCGATTGAGCAGGTCCTCCTCCTCTCTCCCAATGAACCCCATTGCTTGAAATCGCTAATCCAATCGAGTCAGAAGATGGGTTCTCATTGGACTTACCATAATACCACATGTGCCACCTCTCTTCTTCATCGCTAAGAAATCTCTTCACAACCGGCCATCCAATATCTGCACTGTCCCACGAATTTGAAGGACCCAAATCAAACACCAATCCTCTAGATGAAGAAGATGATAATTCGGAAGGAGGACAAGAAACCGCTCCGCTTGAGTCAGATTCCGGTTCCGACGTCTTTTCGCATCCCGAAACAGAATCGATATTAGTGACGGATTCATTGCCAGTCTCGCTATTCGTCTCAGTATCTGGTTTTCTCGAGCAACGAGTGAAGAAACGAGCTCTGCTTTTGGTGCAAGAATTGGAGGAGGAATACAGTGTGACCCTTCTGGGTTTCGTCGATATCCACGTCGACATTAACGATGACGGGTTCGTCAATGTTTGGAAATTGGAAACTGGGATGACATTACAAGCCTTCAGTGCATCCATGGCCGTAGAATGACGAGCTCTTGTGAACCAGTAAACAAAAGAATGGTCAATCTTGAAGAGGGATTTTCGATGTGGACAAAAGAAAATTCTGTGGTGCAAGTCCTAGCTTGAAAGAAGGCAAAGAAATGCAAAGAAGCGACGAGTCTCTGTTTCACCACTTGCAATCGCCAGTTCTTCTAATGTTGTCTTCTTTTAAAGGGAATGAAAGATTTCGGGTTTCACTTCCTCCCTTTCTTTTACTTCTTGGAGAGACTGTATAGTAAAATGTTTCAAACTGTTTTGTTTTTTGGCCAAATATCAAATTATCGGTAAACAAGGAAAAACGATAAAAAAAAAAATTGTGAATAAGTTGAGAGATTAAAAATTATATTTTTTAATAAAATATAATTATAATATAATTTTCAACTTCAAAACATGTAAGATTACAGGAGGGTAATGCCACTGGGCACTGGCCAAAGCAATGTGAAACCTCGAATCTTCGGATTAGGTTTGCGTGTTTACCCAAACAAATAGACTTTTTGTGATTCTACTGGCTTTTCCTTTCCAAAGCGTTATTATTATTATTATTAGATAAATGTCATTTTGACAAATGTGATTGGATTTGTCTTCCAATACCAGCAGTTCTAATTGTAAACTTGTTTATTCCATTATTGTTTTTTTTTTTTACCAAAGTTTATTCCATTATTGTTTAAAAAATGTTTATTCCATTCCATGACGATATGACTTTTAATAAAATAGTAACTTCTCAATCTTGGGTAAATATTGGTTTCAAATCTCTTAAACATATTTAATATTGTATATTAATTTTGTTTGTTTCAACTGTTTTTAAAATGTTTTCTTAAAAATAATTTACAAAAAAATTATATAGTTGATTTAAATTTTTAAAATTAATTAAAATATTAAGAAATCATATTTTTATTTATTTTGAGAAACTACTTTAAACTAGCTTAGCTTCATGTTGCTTATTTTAAGAAGTATCTTATATAATTTGTGGAGTTTGTCAAATTTCTGTACATCTATAATTGGATTAACAGTAACTGAAATTTCTTTTTTTTTTTAATTTTTATATATTGACATTTACAATTTTTTTAACCTTTATACATGACAATATCATGTGGGGCCACATATCAAAAAAAAAAAGTCTAGGATTTACAATAAAAAATTGGCAATATATACTTTTTTTTAATTCTTATTATAAGACATTATTAACTTTTTTAAGGAATTAAAGAAAGATGATTAGGTTATTAGTTTTGTATACAAATATAATGAACTTTCAATTTTATTCTTATTTAAATAATTTTTTAATTTACATTATATTCTTTATCGTAGTTAATGATTTAAATTGTGGTAATCATTAGTAATTAATTTACTTAAAATGTAAAAAAAAGTAGATATGAAATTAGGGAATTTTTTCAGAGATTCAATTTACATAAAATAATAAATTTAAATAAAATAATATTATTTATATTTATATATATATCAGATAAAAAATTTTAAATTTAATTATGTGGGAATACTGATCTTGGAATATTACACTAAAATAAATATTTTTTAAAATTTTCATGCTTTTTATTTAAATTTTATCTTATAAATATTACAATAAATCTAGTTTTTAAATGAAAGATATGCTTTTCTTAATGATTATCAAATGCAAATAACTTTTATCTATTATTAAAAGAATCTTTGAACAATCGAATAGGTACCGAAATTAAAATGTTAGATTCTTAAATTTGAAACATGACAAAATAGTAATTTATATCAAATTTATCAACTTTTTCCTCATCTTCAAGTTAAATGGGATCATGTTCAAGACACCATTTGACACTAAATGTAAATATCTCTTTAGCTAATTAAGATTTTCACCTTAGATCATCATGTTATGAGAGATTACTTCTTCTACTAGATTCAACTCTCACTAAATTCAAATTAATTATTTAACTGCTGCTGAGTATAATCTTGCCATGAATTAAGTCAAAAGAAAAAACTTATATATTTTATATATTTATTTTTAATTAAATCAAAGACATGTTGATCTATGATATATTATTTATTTTATAACGAGTTCTTATTATTAAAATTATTAATATATTAAAATTTATTTATTTTAATTTAATTAGATAAAAATATATTAAGTATATAAAATTATGTACTTAAGTCTTCCCCTTAAGTCAATTATTGAGGTAGATAGGATCATACTATCATTCAAATAGAATTATCAAAAAGTTATTCCTATGTCTAAGCTGAAAATATCATATATCAAGTGTTGTATATAAAAAAAAATTAGTTCCCATTTTAATTTAAAATAATTTTGCTTTCCAACTTCTATAGAATTAGACTTATTTTTTCTATATTGTATGGATTTTGATAAATACATTGCACTATAGATAATTTGTGAAAACAAATGGGATTTAGTGCATATATATTATTGATATTGATATCTTTATGTTAAAAATTTGGGGTAAAAGTAACAAAAAATTAGAAAACAAATCATAAGTAAAAATGGAATTTAAAAAAATAAAATAAGATAGACACAGTTGATCGATTATTGAATTTTATCTTTTGCTTTATTTTGATCAACAAATGAAAAATAAACTTAAAAGGAAATTATTTTACTGTCTTCTTACTCTTGTTTTTTTGCTACTGCAAAATATTTATATGCTTATTAATTACTTTAATTCCATTTCTTTTAATATTTTTCAGGACTCAAAACTCTTCATCCCCCATTCCCTTTAAAATTATTGCAAACTTATGTGTTCTAAACTAATTTCTTTTTATTAATTGATTTTTTTAAAAAATAAGATAAATTTAAAATACTAATTTTTTTTTTATTCTGGCAAACGGATAAGTTCAAGTTGTTGCTTCCGTAACTTCGAAAATAAACAATGAGGAGTCTTTTGTGATTATCTTTTTATTTATCAAGTTGAAAGTTGAGTACTGAAAATCAAAACTGACTGGTTAAAGTTAAAAGAAAGAAAGTGATACTTTCATGACGATTTACACATTTTCTGGATTTTGAGACGGTGATGCCCTTTAACCAAACTACTCAATTTTGCTTTGTAGTACAGGGCTTCTTTTTCTTGGATTATATGCTTGGATAATGTAAAATGATAAATTTATCTCTAAACTATAAGTTATTTTTAATTTTTAAAAATAGTATATTATTATATTTATTATTAATAAATATTAACTTTAATTGTTATTTAACTAAAAAATTATGAAAAAGAATCTAAAATTATAGAGAAGGACTAAGTTTGTAATTTTTTTTATCTTTGTATGTAATTTTGGCTTATTTTTTGTAATTTTTTGATGTTGTAATTTTTAATATCATTTTCTAAAATATTCTGATTAACTAAGGTCAAAATTAATTTTTATTAATGGTAAGGACTACATTGCAATATTTTTAAAAATTAAAGGGAAACATTATATAAGAAAATAGAATTAAAAATGTTGGTAGCCAAATAATTCAAAGGTGAAATTATTTTTTAACTCATATTTAATTATTATAATTTTTTTTTTCTTCATATAATACCAGAAAACGAAAATTTCTTTCCTTGTTGGGAGCATCACAGAGAATGTCTGAAAGAGAGAGAAAGAGATGGCATTCTTACACCCGAAGGAAGGATGCATAAAGATGCGTGGAACGTCCAATCTTCACTCTTTCAGTTTCATCCAATCCCTTTTTCTTTGTTTTATATTCTTTGTTTATAACATTAAGAAAGTTTAAATTTTAAAGGATTAAAATATAATTTTATTTTTAAATTATTTTGAGAGGAATAATTTTACTTATAAACTATTCATTATAATAATGTTGTTCCTAAATTAATCAAATCAAAGTAATGTTATCCCTTCCATTTAAACGTCCTGTAGTTAATAAAATTTACTTTTCATGAGTTAAGATATAATTTTTTTAATTATTTTCAAAGGAGCAATATTGCTCTCACCATTTAAAAATCATAAAATAAATATAAAAATAAAATTATAATAATATTAAATAAAAAAGTATTAAATGTATATATAAAATAAATATAAAAAAATTTATAATATGTTAATAAAATGTCAAAAATTAATAATATTATAGATTATAATTTTATAACTTATCAAATATAAGTGAATATTAGTTAAATTAGATATAAGAAGAGTTAAAGGTATATATGTATTTGCACTTATAACTATCAACCGAAGTTGTCGCTAGTGACTCAATTTGGACTACCATTTTTACAATTGAGGTAGATTGGATAAGAGTTAAGTCGTTATTAAATCAAAAATTGAATTTGAATTGGGAACCGAGAAGCAGTTTTTAGAAAATCAAATGGTTTTAAATATAATATTAAAAAAAGATTAATTTTTTTAAAAAAATAGAAAAATTTAAAAATTAGATCTTATTAAAAGCTAATTTTATTTTTAAATGATTCATATATATATATATATATATAATATGATTTGAGATTATTTTTTATAAAGATGATGATAGTTATAAAGTAAATGTAGATACTTTTAAATTTACTCATATTTAATTTAACTAAGATCCACTTATATTAGATAAGTTATAAAATTATAATTTATATTTTTTCTTATATTTATTTTATATATACCTTTAGTATTTATTTAATATTATTATAATTTTATTTTTATTTATTTTTATAATTTTTAAATGATGAGGACAACCTTGCTCCTCTGAGAATAATTTAAGGGTAAAATTGTACCTTAACTCATAAAAAGTAAATCTCACTAGTTACAATAACAGACATTTAAACCAGTAGCAAAGCTAGGATCTTAAGTTAGAGAGGGCGAAGCCAAGACCTTAGTACAAGAAAAACATTTTTGTCTTTTCAAAATCTATTAAATTTCTTTCTTTTTTTTTCGTCTTTGTTTCTTAATTCAACTTTTAATTATAAATTTGCAAGTGTAATGAGTTAGCAAAATGTATTCAATGAGTTTACTTTTGATTCTCAAATTTTCAATCTTTGTTGTCTTTTTTTCTAACTAATATTCTTAGGACAAGGATGATGCTGGTCTAGTTTAATTAAATTATTTTTTTCTATTTTTTAAAGAATTAATAAATAATATTGGTATTTAGTTATGGTGAAATTATGGGTTAATATTCACTAGACTAAGTTAAAAGTTAAATTTTAGATTTGGATTAAATTTAACATTAAAATGGGTTTAAAGTTTAAAATATTAAAAAATGGGGTGCAAAGTATTAAAAAAAAGAAATAAATTATAAAATATGAAAATATATACCCCAAATATGCTATTTTTATCAAGCACAACACATGGCTCCGCCGCTGTATTCAACCATAGCAAAATTTTCGATCCTTTAAATACGTCTTAATTATCAATTTAATTTTTAGAATTTAATTTTTAATGTTGAGTTTAGCAAATCCTCCTTAATAGATTAAGCTTTAGCCCAAACCGAAATCACATTGTTAAATGGAGCTTATCTGAATATTAATAAAATGCTAGGGGTTTTAAGTGCAATATACCTCCTTTTTTGGGAAAAATCATTTTTATTAACTGCATGTACGTCCAGAAACTACCGAGAGGAATGAGTGGGGGTTATATGATGAGGCGTGAAAGGGTGTTAACTCTCATTCTGGACTTCCGTTTTTTTTTTTTTTTAAGCTTTTAGATGTATTTTAGAAAATGTCTCTCCCCTCCGTTCTCTTCTATACTTCCTCCGTTAAAAAATATAAAATATTTTTAATTAAATTTTATTTTTAATAAAATATTTACTTGTCTTGAAATTAATCATATATTTTTATATTTATCTCTATTTAACAGGATATTTCATCCTAAAATAAATATAAAGTGATTTATTTAATAAGTGCACTCTTAAATAAAAGCAATGATTACTTCTTGAAAGATCAAAAATATCTTATATTTTTAAAAATCTAACCCCTCAAAAAATAATTTATATTCTTTAACAAAAAAAATATTTGTTGTAAAACAAGAACCGAGTTTAAGTAAGTCCATTTGTCCGCATATAAATATAATCCAATGCAACTAACATGCATGTTTGTGGATTCTAAAAACTTACTTTTATCAATTCAATCCCCTGACTTTATGAAAATAAATAAGTAGTTTTTATTATTTTAATATGAGATAACATTGTTAAAATGTATTTACATGAATAATAAAATATTGACTTGGCAATCATGTAGATCACAAAAAGAAATTTACTTATTTAGACAAAAAAAAAAGAATTTACATGTAAATGCCAAGTCATCATAATATTGACTTGTAAGGGAAAACCGAACCAAAGAATAATTTTAAAAAAAGATTTAACTTGTTTTCATTTAGTTTCACACACACTAATAAGTCATTAATACACTTTATATTATATATCATATTTTGAAGACTAATATGTTTTTTTTTTGTTGGGGGCAAGAAAATTGTGTAAACTCTAGACAGTAGAGATTATTTCTCCCTATGTAATGACAGCAAATAGTTGATCCTTTTCAACTAAATTATTACATATACAATGATTGATATTCAAAATTTTATTTCAAAACCTAGAAAAGTAACATGACAACTTAAAAAAAAAAAAGGCAAAGGATTATTTTGATAAAATTAAAATTTAGGAATTGAATACGAGGCAAATTTGACAGGCCAAAAGTTTTATTATCTTCCAATGCGTGTGTATTATAAAAAAAATAATATGTAGTTCTCATATTTTATCTTAATCTTAAACTAAATCTCTATAATTTATTTTATTTTAATCAAGCCTTCATAATTTGATCCATTTTATTTGTTAATCTGTAAAGATTAAAATTTTAAATTTTTTCTTAAAAAATAATATTAAGAATATTCATATTTTTATTAAATATTATATAATTTTAAAATTAATTACATACTTTTTATAACTCAATTTTTATTAAATTACTTCTTCTAAATAATTTTTATAATTACAAATTTTTTATAAAAAATTAAAAAATGTAAATGTTGTATTAAAAATTTTATTTTCATTAAAAATATTAAATCAAATTTTTTATCAACTTTAAATGTGTTTATCATGAAAAAGTTAATCATTCATGAATAATTTTAACCTTTCAAAGATTAACATATATTCCTAAAGGTATGTATAGAGAGCATTACTTTAAAAATGATAACTTTTTAAATAATGCTTAAATTTTTTGAAAGATCGATCTTATGGCTGTCGGTTATAGGGATACATTAAGAAATAAAAAAAAGATTAACATATCTGATGAATGAAATTATATGAGCTTCATTAAAATAAAATAAGCCAAAGAAACCAAATTCAAATTTTTTAAATAATAATAAGAACTTGTGATTTGATTTTTCCTATTTATACATGTATAAATTCTAATTAGCTGTCTTATCAACAGCCCATCTCCCAAACTCTGAGGGGACATGGAACGCATGCCAGTTGGGACTTAATGAGGAAAACGTGTTTCCTTCTCCAATGAAAAATAATCCCATTAAAGTAATCTTAATTCGTTAAAAAAAATAATAATAATAAAGAAACAAGTGCCGTATCATCACTTTGATTTTGTTATTTTGACCCTGCAGCCAAACAACGTAAAAGATATTTGAATTTACTAAACGGACTCAAAAGTTCGCAGTTTTCTGAACAACGATAGGATTTGAATAATCAATTCAGTATGGCAGGTAGGATATGGAAACAAGTGGTGTTGTCATCAATAGATCTACTTGAAAGCAACGTCATACAATATTTATATGATTGCTAATGGTTTCAGGTTTATCAAACCCTATAAGAAAATGGAAAAAAATTATTTATCTGTATAATTTTATTACCTTTAGTTATCGATCCATATACCTTTTTTTTTTTTTTTAATGCTTCAAATCTCTCTAGTTTTTTCTACATGCAATGTTAATCCTTTTAACTTTTAATATTCCTGGGAAACAATGATATGGCACAAAAGATATTAAATTATCTTATATATGACCAACAATATTAATACTTTATTTGGTTGAAGAGAAAATATGGGAGGAAAGAAAACATGAAAGGAAAATAGAAGAAAAAATGTATTTTTTTTCTTGTTTAGATGAAGAAGAAAAAGTGAAAAGAAAGAAAAGTTGGGAAGAAAATGAGTTGTGGGACTCACTGCATTTTTCTCCCAACTTTTCTCCCAAAAGGTGGAGAGATTTTGAGAGTAAATTCTTATTTTCATTACTTATCCTCCTCTCTTTTGCCCGCTTCAACTACATTAGTTCCTCACAAACAATTAAATTTTGATCTCCATGAAAATTGTGTCTTTAGCTTTCAAGAAGTAATTTAATTTTAACTAATTTTAGTATAAATTGATTTGATGATGCTAATTTTAATATAATTAATTTGATTTTAAAAAATAAAAATAAAATTTGCATCTTTAGCTTTCTACATTTTTTTAACAACTAATTTAATTTTAAATTAATTTGAGGATGTTAATTTTAATATCATATATTCTTTCAATTTATTTTTACAAAGATAATTACATTAGATATGATATATATTGATATAAGGGTATTACAATCATCATGTTATTTATTTATTTTTTTTTCTCTTTATTTTCTCCTATCCATCCAAACACAATGAGTGATAACATTTTTTTTTTTAGTTTTCTCTTTTCTCAATTTTCTTTCCTCTCATTTTCTTTTCTCTCAACTTTTTTTCCCATCTAAATGGAAAATAAATCTTATGTAAAATGCTAAAATAAGGATGAGGTGACATCCTAATAGCTTGGTTAAAAAATTGATTTGGGCATTTAACTTTCTTTTAATTGATTAGGACATTTGACACAGGAATAAAAAGCTTGAGTGCTTGATCCACAATGATTCGAAATCACTTTTAGAAGCTAACAAAGCAACAAACATTGTCGTCAAAACTCAACAATCGGTCAAGAAACAATTGTTGACTCATTTTGACTTAGACATGTTAGCATTTTTATTAACATCATCAATTACATGTCAAATAATTTAATACAGGTAGTGCTATATTATCGTTTCTTTAAGAATATTTAAAAGTAGAGGCACTAATGTCATATATAAGAAGACATAGAGGGACCTGAAACATTTAGATAAAAAAAAGTATAAAGACTAATAATAAAATATAACAAAATTACAGTGACAATTATTTATGTTTTTCCTAAAATGTAAAGGGAAGTTTGTCCACATGTGCCTCAAAAGCTTCCAAACCCTTTGTAGCATATGGGGTCCTTTCTTTCATCATATTCTTAGTGTCAGGGGACTGGGCAAAGAAACTCCATGAAAAAGCAGTAAATGCATGGGTTGATAGACAAAATACAGAGTTAAAAAACATCAGGCTGAATCAGAAAGTCAGCAACAACAGTACCAATATGGACATCCTAGAATGAATCAAAAAGGAAGGAATGAGGATGCTTGAATGTAATTTTTGGTTGAACATCTTGCTTTCTACATGATCTGATGAATCAGTACTCAACCAAACTACAATTAAAGCAAATAACATAGTTAGCATTGACTAACCAAAGCTCCTTCACTAATGTTCTGTAGGTTCTCTAACTTCGGTAATCGTTTGCAGTCCCATTCTTTCTCTAAACTCTCTATAATCCTCTTTCTGTTGCTCCACAATCTTACGTATCTCGGGATCATGAAAGCGAGCACGGACATATTTCCTCTCCTCAGCTTGTATCTCCTTAATTGCACTAGGATATGGGTTAGGAGGAGGCTTCTTCCCTTGAAGACGGGCAATTTGTTTCAAGCGAGCATATGCTTTCTTCTTTGCTGCCACCTCAGCCCGATATTCCTTCTGTGAAGCAGAAAAACCAAGTGAATATTAGAGGAGTAAAGGGAAAAACATTTTAACCAATAGGAGTTGGGTCTAGAGGAAGGAGCTAGTCCTCATAATGTGATGAATATTTAGTGCTCCACTGTATTTCAAATAGGATTGTCTCCAACAAAAGAGTACCTATGAGCAATAAAAAAATGGAAAACATTTTGCTAAGTGATAATATTCAGCAAATTAGGAACATACATCGGCTACAGCCATTGCTTGTGCCTCAGTGACCCCCTGCTCTGTTAACTCCAGAATCCTCCCAGCATAAACACGAGATGGAGGAGGATCAAAAGAATTTATCCTGTTGGAACATTAATCATCTATATGAATGAGCAACATAATTAATGCATTTGACTTTTCACTTTCATCATTATGGATTAAATATGTAGGTAGGCCAATGTCTCATTTAAGAAGTCTTCTAACATAAAAGAATGAAACTTGAAAGATTTTGCTCACTCTCGGCAAGCATACATAAGAAACAACTATTCAACCGAGGAACTCTTAGCACACGAATAAAAGCTGCATAAGTTATGATAAGATTCCCTTAAAGATTTATTTGAGACGGAAGTGATAGAAGATAAATTAAATTTAATATTATTATTTTGTTTAAATTTGAATATTTATTTAGGGATTTCATTTAGATACAGTTTTTATCTAGATTTAGATTTAAATACTATTTAGGTTTAGATTTTATTTAATCTCAATGATTCTGAGATTCTGATCTTATTCAGATTCTTATTTAGATTTAGTTATCTAATTATCTATATTTCATTTGTATTTACCTTTATCAATATGACTAACAACTCAGAAGCTAACATATCATCACCAATAAAATAATTCTTAAAACCCTTTGGAGATTCTCCTAAGCACGGCTATTGAGAGAAATATAGAATGAGATTCTTGTTCTATATTATTTCGATAGAATTGTTCTTCCTATTTCCTTTTATCCTGAGCGTTCTAACAATTTGGTATCGGAGCCATGGTTACCACACGTACTGGTCAAGAAAACAATCCATCTGATGACCCATCCAACAACCCCCTAGAAAATAAAACCTACTCGTATCAAACCGTTTAGTAGCCATTGTGTTAAAACTCGAGACTCTTGATTTACTAAAAGAAAAGGTAGATGCCATTTACCAAAAGCAAGATAACAAGGGAGACTCAATGCTGGCAATATTATGAAGAAGAAAGTGAAGACGAGCGTGAATATTGAAGATGCCAACAGACCTCACCACACCAAAATTGAATTTTCAAAATTCAATGAAGGTGACCTATGAGAATGGTTCTTAAAGGTAGAAAAATATTTTAAGTACTATGACACACATGAAGAAGATAAGGTTGATGTGGCATTGATTTATCTAAAAGGAGACGCACTAGATCTGATCGCTTGGATCAACCATGAAAGGACCCTTCATTACTGGGATGAACTTGTGACAGCCTTTCAAGAAAATTTCAGACCTCCCAACTACCAGAATCCTGATGAATTTTTATGTAGCAACAAGCAAGAGGGATCTATACAAGAATATCGTGCTGAGTTTGCCAAACGTTCTGCCTGAGTAAGAAATTGGCCTGAACACTTTTTGCTAGGCATCTTCCTCAATAGCTTGTGAGAAGATTTACAGTTAGATGTACGCATTCATAAGCCTCGATCTGTCTACAAAGCTATAAGCCTTGCCCGGGAATTCGAAACTAAGATGTGTGTGAGTAAGCCCAGACCCAATCAATTTCAGACTCCAAATCAATTTCCTTACTCTGCATCATCAGTCGCACAAGACCAGAAGAGGCCCTCAGATTCGTTCTCAGCCAACCCATACACGAACGCACCACTCGAAGGCTCTAGAATCCTAGTGTCTTCATCTTCATTGGCCAGAACAGCGAGTTCGACAGCGTCTAAAGTCCCCTTTAGGAATACTGCGTGGTAACGAATGAGAGATAAGGGGCTCTGTTTTCACTGTGGAGAGACTTTCCGGCCAGGTCACCACTACAACAACTCGTTTTCATTGTTGGAGATCACTGATAAAGGCGAGGAACCCATTCCTCCTCTCGAAGACGCAGGCATCAAAGAAACTAAGCAGGAAAATGCAGAAATATCATTTAATGCACTCTTAGGTGGCAACACATGCTCCACAATGAAACTAAGGGGTATATTAGGCACACGTGAGGTTCTTTTATTAGTGGACAGTGGCTCTTCGCATAATTTTTTCTTAGATGCATTGGTGCAAGATCTTCTAAGCCCACATAATCTATTTCTTCCTTTGGGGTTCAAATTGGTGATAGTAGTATTGTGCAAAAATATAGAAATTCATCTCACTGGGCTCACCATTAAGGAAGACTTTTACCCTTTTACTCTTGGAGGGGCTGATCTAGTTCTCGGTATTGAGTGGCTAGTATCTCTTAACACGGTACAAGCCAATTGGAATCAACTTTTTATGATTTTTTGGTTGAATGGCAAGAAGTATAAACTCCAGGGAGTTTCGAATAACATTAGCAATACCCAATTTAATTTATTACAAAAAAAAAAAGCTTTCGTTGACTCAAACCAATCCCACTATTTCAACCTAGAGCCACTATTTAAGAAATTTCCATCAGTTTTTGAAGAACCGACCAATTTACCCCCATTCAGAGACCATTCACATGCCCCTTGTTACCAGGAGCCAATCCTCCTAATTTGAGACTGTATAGGTACCCATATTATCAAAAGGCAGAGATTGAGAATCAAGTTGAAGAATTGCTGAAAAAGGGGTTTATCCAACCTAGCTCTAGCCCATTTGCAAGCCCAGTTTTATTAGTCACAAAGAAAGATGGTTCATGGCGTTTTCTGTGTGGGTTACCGAAAATTGAATAGTCTTACAATTCCAGATAAGTATCCCATCCCCAACATTGATGAGTTATTAGATGAATTACATAGGACGGTTTATTTCTCCAAACTTGATCTACATTCTAGATACCAAATTCGAATGTTAAATGAGGATATTCACAAAACAGCATTTCGTACTCATTCTGGGCATTATGAATTCACAGTTATGCCCTTCGGCTTAACTAATGCACCGGCCACTTTTCAAGCTGCTATGAATGATTTATTTCGTCCGTACTTGCAGAAATTTGTATTAGTATTTTTTGATGACATATTGGTGTACAGTTCATCATTTCAACAGCACTAAGATCACTTGCGTACAGTTTTACAAGCCTTGCAGGATAATGTATTTTGTGTTAACTTAAAAAAATGCTTTATTGGGGGGCCAAGAGTTCCTTTTTTAGGACACAAAATTTCTGCACAAGGAGTTGAAGTTGAGGCAGAAAAGGTGGAGGCCGTATGTGAATGGCCTACTCCTAAAAATGTGAAGGAGCTATGTGGTTTTTTAGGCCTTGGAGGGTATTACCGGCATTTTGTCAAAAATTTCGGCATCATCGCCTGCCCACTTATTGAATTGACTAAGAAGGATGCCTTCTTATGGTCGAAGACAAACCTTTAATCGCTTCAAGCTTGAATTAATTATGGCACCTGTCTTGCTGCTGCGAAATTTTGAGAAGGATTTCACAATTGAATGTGATGCATCAACAGAAGGGATTGGAGCTATTCTAATGCAAAATAACCATCCCATTGCTTACTTTAGTAAAAGGTTTTCTGTCTCCAACCATTACAAATCTGCATATGATCGTGAACTCTTAGCATTGGTTCTTGCAATACAAGAATGGCACCATTACCTCCTCGAGAGGCATTTCTTTGTAAGAATGGATCATGCTAGCCTTCAATATTTACTACAACAATGCATCACAACTAATACTCAACAGAAGTTGATCATTAAGCTCTTACCATTTAATTTCACTATCACTCACAAGGCAGGTGTAGATAATAATTCTTTTTGGCAAGAATTATTCCGACTCAATCAGACCGAGTTGAAGATGAGCACTGCTTATCATCTCTAAACAGATGGTCAAACAAAGGTTGTCAACCGATGTCTGGAAGCCTATCTTCGCTGTTTTGCATATGAACAACCCTGGTTATGGCATAGATTCCTTTGTTGGGCTGAATACTTGTACAACATAGGTCATCATGCATCCACTAATTATACTCCTTTCAAGTTGGTGTACGGTAGAGATCCACCTCCCCTGCTTCCTTATGTGAAAGGTGAAACTCCTATAACTGATCTAGAAGATCAATTGGAAACTAGAGATGCCATGCTCAAACTCTTAAAAGATGATTTGAGCAAGGCTCAAGACAGGATGAAGGCCTATGCGGATAGGCATAGGAGGGAAGTCGAGTACGCTGAGGGTGATGTTGTCTAGTTGTGGGTTCAGCCCTTTTGCCAACAATCACTCACAAAGAGGAAATTTGAAAAATTGTGCCCTCGTTTCTTTGGTCCCTATAAGATCCTTAGGCAAATTGGAAAGGTAGCTTATGAATTGGAACTTCCTTCTGATGCTTGAATTCACCTTGTTTTCCATGTGTCTCTCTTACGACCTACGTTTGGGTTGGGTCCACCCGATTCCCCAGCTTCCTTACCCCTCACTGCTGATTTTGAGTTCCATGTGACATCAGATCAAGTCTTAAACCATCACTGGACTTGACATAATTCACTTGGACTATTGGTGCAATGGTATGGACGACCTATTGAAGAATCAAGTTGGGAGGACTATGACCTCTTGCACGCTCAATTTCCCTCTTTTCAACTTGAGGACAAGTTGAGTTTTCAAGTGAGGGGTAATGATAAGATTCCCCTAAAGATTTATTCAAGACGGAAGTGATAGAAGATAAATTAAATTTAATATTATTATTTTTTTAAAATTTGAATATTTATTTAGGGATTTCATTTAGACATTCATTTTTTATCTAGATTTAGATTTAAATACTATTTAGGTTTAGATTTTATTTAATCGCAATTATTTTGAGATTCTGATCTTATTTAGATTCTTATTTAGCTTTAGTTATCTAGTTATCTATATTTCATTTATATTTACCTTTATAAATATGACTAGCAACTCAGAAGCTAACATATCATCATCAATAAAATAGTTCTTAAAACCCTTTGGAAATTCTCCTAAGCGTGGCTATTGAGAGAAATATAGAACGAGATTCTTGTTCCATATTATTTCAATAGAATTGTTCTTCCTATTTCCTTTTATCCTGAGCATTCTAACAAGTTAGTTTGAAGCTGAAAATGATTTTAAAAAAAAAAAATCAAAGCAAAGCAATACAAACCAAGGTGTTGTTCTAGGTTTGATGCCACCTTGGATGCTAACTAAGACACCACCTAGAACGACAATGACAACTTAGTTCATATAATAAAAAATACCTACTGTTTACAGGTAGAAGAATACTTGAAGCCAGTGCACACTTCCAACATCAGAAAAACATACGAGAAAGCAGAGTTTTCTCAAAGCAAAAAGAGACAGGAACATGGTAGGTTTACAAGATGATTGAATCCTCAAATGGACTCAGTCCACCACAAAAAAGGCAGATCCACAAAATTAAAAAGAGAGAATATACAACAATCAAACTTATACTTTCCATCCTTATATTGGAAAGAAACAGAGACTATACTCCACTCAAAGAATAACTCCTAACAATCATTTTATTTTTCAAACTTATACAAGGAGACTAGAAGGAGATATAGAAGAGTAGAGAGCAAGACATCATCCTAGAGCCAAAACAAGGCTCTGAAAAAAGAAAAAAACATAGCCTTAAAACGTAGCAATGTTGTCCAATCCCCAAATGTATCAAACAGAGATGCATCCCTGAGATTTCATCAGTAGGGCCAATTAGAGGTCACAAGCAACGATCCTGATTCCTAATTTCCTATGACACGTCTAAGTGCATTCTTGTGTTTTTACCAAGCAAATGATAAAGTCACAGAAGAAGAGTTTCTGGAAACTAATATAAATTTTGATTTTCTTTTTGAACATTTGCATTATGTCTTTCACATTTTGGAAATATCTAGATCCTTGAGGACCAAGATGTTTTCTTAAGGGTGGTTTGGTTCGAGAGAAGGGGAGGAAAGTTATTGATCCCTTGTTTGGATTGATTAGAAGGGTGGGAAGCTAATAATAAGCTGACAATTTTATCCCTATCAAATTTATGTTGGTTTTTTACTTTTCACTTTGATATATTATTAGAGAAAATAGCCATATTATAATTTATTAATTTCATATTTTAAGGATGTGAATTTGTCCAACTTACATTAATATTTTTTATGAAGAACCTCATCAGCATAACAATAATGAAAAAAAAAATAAATTTAATACATTAAAAAAAATTATATTAAGTTTTATAAGGTGATAAATTTTGTTTTATTGGTGAGAGAAGAAGGCACAATTTTTTTTTCAATATAAGGGTAGTTTGGAATTTTCAAAATAAAAAAAGAAAAATTTAGTTAATAAATATTTTCTCTCTCATCTCCCCTCGAAAAAATACCCCAAATTGGAGGGGACAGTTGGGAGGGGAGTTTCCAATTTTTCAATCAAACATGTGCCCCCCACCCCCCATTTAAATACCAACCAAACAAGGGGAAGAAAGCAACCCCTCTCACCTCCCCTCCCTTCCCCTCTAAAAACCACCCAACCAAACATGCCCTTAAGGATAGTAGTTGTTACAATATAAGTGATGATAGGAAGTGATTAGTTTGGTAGTTAGCAGTTCTTAGGCTGTCATTACAGTTAAGTGCTCCATCCTGAGCATCTTGACTATATATATAAGGGCCACAATACTCATGTAAGCATTGTAAAGTGAATAACAGAGTGAGATGTGGGAAACTCTAGCCAGCATAGAAGGGGAAAAAAAATTACATGCTTAGGATACGTGCTTCCAATCAATTTAAGGCATGTGAATTTTTTATAGATTATTTTTACCATGATAAACTTTTTTTTTAATATTATTAACATTTTAAAATCCACTTGTTTTAATTTGATTGGACGAAAATACATTAATTATATGAGATTAAGTATATAAGTCTTCCCTAACACTGGAACGCCTTTAAAGGCATTTCCTTATAACCAAATATATTTTAAGAGAATAAAACCAACGTGCAGAAGTTCTTAAAGCTCATGTATTTGGTCTGTCACATGATAAGTATGTGTAGCAGACACCTATAGCATGAACACCTATACAAAAAGGAAACCCAAAAACAATCAATTATGACATGAAAGTGCGGGTCCAGGGCTCAAGAGAAACACAAATAAGTTATACTCCTGCACTTTATCAGTGCATCCTATCTAGCACTATAGGTAGAAATTTGCTGCGTTTAAAATGTAATATAGGCTGATATAACCAAAAACAAAATAATTATTGAGCATGGGCACAATTGTACAAAATTCAACAAGAAAAAAGGAGAGAAATAACGTTGACTCAGAAAGATAATAGTGTAAACAAGAGGAATATGTTATGTAATTATTATAAATAAGAAAAGAATTAATGATTAGTTAGGATTTAAATTTATGGTGTGTTTGGATTAATGAGAATTTGGATTTGGACAAAATCCATCATTTGGATAACCAAAAACTTATAGATCATCGAATCCATTTTTTATTATGATTTCTTTGTAATTTCAAATTCCTTCTACATCCTAATCATTTGAAATTCTAGCCTCTTCAAACATCTTGTTCTTCTCACATTTTTCACATTAATGCCTCTACAACTCGTATGTTTTCTCATCCCTCATTCTTATCTCTCATATATTAAAAAATAAAGATAAACTCATCACTCTCAATTCAGTTTTTGTTGTGAATCTCAACTCATCTCTCCTCATTTGAAATTTTTTAAACCACCCAATCAAGGATTTTAAATATAAGATTTAAATGCAAGATTTTAAATCTAAAATTCAAATCCAAATTCATCAATCCAAATGTTACCTTAGATTATTTAAACAGATTTAGATATGATTTAAATTCAAATAGGATCTAATATTTAATTATATTATCACTGTATTAGGAGGATTTGGTTAGATTAGGATATATATTTCGATGAGAGTAATGCCTACAAATAAGAGGCAATAGAGTACCTAATTTCTGACTTTGATTTTCAATGAGAATTGCACATTCAGATTTGCTCTTTCTATCTCTCTGTTTCCTTTCTCTCTCTTTTTCCCTCTCTTTCTCACTCTTTCCAATCTGCATTCCATAACAGAATACAATTCCAGTTATCAATCCAGATTCCAGAAGCCCCATAAAGCGCAGCTTTTATTCCTATTCTACCATGAATCAAAGTGGAGATGACTTTTCTCATAACAAATTAAATTTAGACCATCAGTATTAGTAACAATCCTCAAGGAATGCCTCATCACCCACACAAAATCCAAACTAATTACAATATATCTTACAACAACAGAAGATACAGTATTGGTTACTAATATTGCAAATGGAGATAATAAAGATATAGAAAAAGAGAGCATACTTGATGGCATCATAGTATTTTGAATCCGGATATTTCTTATAAAACTTCCTTATGTAAACATCCTCCGGAAGAGTGATGGTTTTAATTTTACCCTCAGGTCGAGGGAATGATGCGGGCGGTGCTCTGTTAAACACAATAAAATGAGATATTAGAGAATCCCTCATCCTTTGAAAAAGACAATGCGAGGCAGCATAGACATCAAAGCAATCCTTCAATCTTCTTTATGACCAAATTATGAGACTTCATCAAAAACACATGTTCACCGAAAAAATCAACAACACAGCAACCCCACCAGAAAAAACAAAACACAAGCCAGAACAGTAACAAACTCAGTTCTAGTTATCTCCTTATCAAGCTCAACTATCCCTGGCTTGACGGAAATTGATACGTCAACAAATATTCCTGCAATTGTTAAACTCAAGATGTGTAGACCTTGACTATTATACCCAGCACCATACCCCCCTTAATGCTATAATTCTCCTTTCTAATGGACCTAAAAACTATAAGCAAGACAAGAATGCAAAACAGGCTTCCCCTGTCAAAATTTCAAATGTGAATTTTCAACCATACCCCATGAAGTCATGATTCAAAATAACAAAAGGAAAAAAAAACAAAATGCTCCTGGAAATCAAGTTGTTGAACTAAAAGGGTATCAAAATCCGCTTGGAACCATTTAAAGACAGACCCAAAATGAAGGATACCGAACGAGAGGGATGACACATACTGTTCCATGGCTTTGAGCCATAAGGGTTCGGTCTGGGCCAAACCCTTCACGAGCTTTCTGGTTCGACAAAGCAAATCTCCTCTCATAAACGACATTGCGGCTGCTTCTTTCTTCTTCGGCTCGCTCTGTGGCTTGCTCGCCAGCGATCCTGTAAAACCCAATTTACACCGAAGTGGTGGATTCATAGACATAGGCGGACCTATACTACACAGTGTGGGTATCTGCCCCCACTGAAATCTGTGAAATATGCATATTTGATATAATACCCTTTTAATTTTTGTTCCAGATGCTTTGACACAACTCGTGCCAAGTCATTTACAAGATCATACATCACATATACATCGACAATTTTCCAAAATTGATGATAAAATTTAAAACAAAGAAAGAACAGCCACGCAGTGAACAGATGACGCGGGGAACAAATTCAAATCTAGATTCAAAGCCAGATTGAACAAATCAATCTCGCCGAATTTTGGGAGAAGGAAAAGCGAACCTTCTTCACTGCTTGCCCGAGAACAACCAGGCTGGGCTGACAACGGTGGATGGCGTCCGAGGCAGTGTGGAATGCTGGCTCGTCGACGAGGAGGCCAGTATCCGCTTCTCGCGAGAATGGGCTTTATCGGGGTTATAATTAATTTTAGAGTAAAACAACCCTTTTATTTTAGGTTTGTAAAATCACATACTTTCCCGGTAGAGAATATCATTTTATCTCCAACAAATCAATAACTATTTGATTTTGAGAAATTAGTCATGTTATTGCTTTTCTTTTAAAAAAAAAACATGACTAAAACGAAATGATAAATTACTAGTTATTCTGTGTAAATTTTTTATTAGTGAAATTTAATAACTAAAAATTAGTTTCTATTTTTATTGGAAATTGATTAGAACAAAATAGCAAATTGCAAGTTGCTATATACTAATTTTTTAAAGGTTAAGAGTTATTTTTATCCTTAAAATGTACATGAAAAATCACAAATATCCTTAAACTTAATTATGAGTTATTTATATCCTTCAATTTAAAAAAATTTTTATTTTATCATCCTACTATCTTGTCCATCCATTTTTCCATTAATAGGGCCTACTTTTTCTTTTAACTTTTTAATACTTTTTTATTATAAAACATTACTTGTGGGCTTGACATTACTTTTTTAAAATATTTTTATCCTCTCTTCTCTCCTGTCTCTCCCCCCTCAAATCTACAACTCTCTGTCTCACATTCTCTTCTTCTTGTCTCACACTGTCCTTTTCTCTCCCCCTCCTCTTTTCTCTTCCACTGTCACAACCATCACCATCAATCTCTAAGAACAGCCATGATAATCATCTTCACCTCAGCTCCAACAATCAACAAAGGTGCAAGTGACTAATGAGTGACAGCCACCACTAAAGACTTGATTGTATCACCTTTGACTAGCTAGACTTGCACGCCATGATTGCTTAGGTCTGCATGGACATTGAAGACTACAACACATGCTAACGAAGGCCATATAAAGCATGACGGAGCCAACAAAAAGGGTTGTCTATCTAATGATGATGATGATGAGTGGAGAATAGTTTAAAAGTACTATGATTGTAAGCCCTTAGAGAATGGAAGACACTGAAACGACACCCACATTCCTCCTTTAATATCTTATTAGTGACCATGAACAATTTCAAATCAACACATTGCTTGGTCGTGGCCACTGGCTTCTCTATCTCCCTTCCACTCGACCAATACATGTGTTTCAATAGCTTCTCTCCTTCTCCGATAAACTTGTTCTCCACAAGTTTCTTTACATCCTTGAACACTCTCTCATCCTTCATAGCAAATGGCTGAAACAATGTATCTACTTTCTTGACCAAAAACATAGTGTCATGACTTCGAACAACTATGTCCTCTTTGGCCTTCGCATACTGGTATGCCATCGAAGGCTTAGCCCTCAAGGCCTCCCACACTAACTTCACCAATGGCATCTTTTCTAGCATTGTCAACGTGACACTTCCTTGTAAAGCTTCTGTGGTTGAAGTTTCAATGGCATTGTAAAGCTTCTTGAGGTCTCATTTAAGCAAGAAGCTAGGGAGTAGCAGGGTAATGGAGGAGCAAATTTGAGAGGAAGGAGGGGGAGAGAGAGGGGGGATAAAAAATATTAAAAAAGAAATGTGGGGCTCACAAGTAATATTTTATAATAAAAAATCTTAAAAAATTGAAACTAGTAATGAAAAAATTGTCGAAGAAGATGGAAAGGTGATAAAATAAAAAATCGTTGAGGTTAAAGGATATAAATGGGCTATAGTTGATTTTAAAGACATTTGTGACCTTTTGTGTATAGTTCAGAGACAAAGATGACCCTTAACCCTTTTTTTAATAATGAAGTTCAACAACTAAAAATGAATAACTGTAATTAATTAGAAAATAATTTGCTTATAATTTTGTGCATTGCATGACTGGTTCAAAAATGTTTGAACACATAGATTTTCACTAAAGTATTAGTGTTTTGGAGCCATTAATATAGATATTTCTAGCCAACATCTTGTGTTTAATTAGAATAAACCATTTCTTTATTTAGCTTATTACAAGTTCCCTTATTTGTGTTAATAGGACACTTGCATGATTTGAGAAATGAGATGGTTTTGATTAGTTCAATATAAATTTTTATACCCACAAGCTTCTTAAAATTTTTTTATTTCCAACCCTCTTAAATTTATACACCCACAAACTTCTTTGGGTTAACTAAATTATTTTATTCTTTCATGGTTGGCAATTATAAATTGGGTTTTAATCTTTTCAATCATGGTAATCCTTTTACATATTTATCTTTATATTATCACAATAGGCAACTGAAATGCATTTAATGGATTTTGTAGGCATCATATTTATATGCACTTGAGTGCATAGATGTTAAACATCCTAAAATTTTAAAAAAGATTAACTAAATAATTAATTGAGGTCTTTATTGTGTTAATTAGAATTGACCATTGAGTCTATTGGAATCTATATGGAATTTAGAATGGGACTTTAAGTGTCGTCTATCAAAACATGTGGCCAACTGAGGAGCAAGGAGGCGTGCATGAGGTCTAAGAAGGAGGAATCCAAGCCAAACATATCAAGAAGGGTACGTTCAAGGATCTATTACAAGGGATTGGAGGCCTAATGACTAGGGCTAAAACCAAAGCTATGAAGGAAGCTCTTAATGGATTGATTCAAGACTTTATTGAAGCCAAGCCCATGCCTAATAAGGAGGCCCAAGGTGCCATCTTCACCCTTTATAGCATCCAAGAAGATTTGTCACATGTTCCACATGCAAACTTGGAGTGCAAGATTGAATCCTTGACTAGTCAAGCAAGCATTGATTGCTAGATTAGTTTCCTTAGTTATTAGTTTTCTATTTTCATTTAGGCATTTATTTCTAATATCTTTTAGTGATTTCCTTAATTTTTGGGATTGCAAAACTTGCAATTTAAATTATTATATTTTAGGTAGGATCTTAGAAGGTGTCATCATTTAGGAAAGTTTTAAGATTTGATTTCTATTATAATTTTGGTCAACTTTCATATTTCTTTTGCCATAAGTAGCACCATCCACCTCCTTCCTTTTAGGGTTAGGGTTTTAATTTAGTTGCTCATATATAGACCTCATACAATTAGTTTTAAGAAGAAGTTTAATACAAGTTTTCAATTATTTACATATTGTGAGAGCTTTTCTTTTGCCTTCTGATTGATTGAGAAGATTGGGATTATCAAAGGATAAGTCTTTCTTTGTGGTTGCCTGTGGAGTTAGGGGTCAAGAGCCAGGTGCCTCTTGGGTTCTAAATCCTAGATCATTGAAGAAAGGGTTAAGAGACAAGTTTCTTTTAGGTCAACTATCCAAGCCTATCTTGTTTGGTTTCTTATTTTTGTTCCTTTTTTTGGTTTCTTCTTGATTTCATTTCTTGTTCATTATTGCTTCTAGTTTTTCGCTTTTACTTTGTTCTTTGTTCCTGTTTGTGTACTTGACAACTATGTAATGATTTATTGGAATCCAGAGGGTTTACTTTCAGTTGCAAGTAGGAATTTTTATGTCAATTGGCATTGGAGCATGGGTTTTTGTGCTATCGTTAAGTTTGTGTTTCCTTTCCATTTTTTTCTTCTTCTTCTCCTTTTGTTCTTCTTTGTGCCATGTCCCTTTCTTTCATTTGTCTTCTATCTCTTCTCCTTTTGTGTTAATCTCTCTTTGTTCTTTGTGTTCTTGTGTTGCAAAATTCACAAAAAAAGGTTGCTACCTTGTATTTTTTTATTTGAATTTTCATTGTCAAGCAAAAAAAACAGAGAGAGAGAGAGAGAGAGAAAGCATGAATCCCAAGCAAAAAAAGAAAAAAGGAAATAGTTAAAAAAAAGAAAGAGGCATGATATATTGGAAAAAAAAACCATTACAAAGAAGAAGATTGAAAAGTTGGTAGCTTGCAACTTAAGTTAATTTCTTTATTGATTAATCTAGTTTCCTATTTTGTTAGTTTAATTGAGGAGAAAGTTTCTTGAGTAGTAAGGCTTATTTTTACTACTTTCCTATTTTCACTTGATTCTTATCTTGTCTCCATTTCCTATTTTATTCACTTTCTTATTTTCATCACCTTTCTATTATCTTAATTTTCCTATTTCCATTAATTTCCTATTCCTTTCACTTTCCTATTTTCTTTGTTTCCAATTCTATTTCCTTCCCTTTGTTTTCCAATTTTGTTTGTTTCCTTTACTTTTCTTTTGATGTCTTGCTTACTTTCTTTAATTAGTTGAATATTTTTGACTCTTAAGACATTTGGTTATATCCATTCTCGATTTTTCTAACTCAATATACTTGCTTGGTTGCTACTCCTTGAATTTTACTTTGATTTGATTAAGTACTTAAGAATGCACCTTTGAGTGGAATAAGACAAGAGGGTACCTTATATATATATATATGTATGTATGTATGTATGTATGTATGTATGTATGTATGTAAAGCCAAATAAAAGTATGAAGTGCAAGTGACTTGCATTGATCTGAGTGCAAATACATGAGAAAGTGGTGAGCACCAACTTCTTATTTTCTTGTTTTCACTAAAATTGAAAGTACCATTATGACATAACACCTTGATCTTAGTGATGTACTAAAATCATTTCAAAAGTAGTTGAATAAGATCACTAGCTATTTACAAGACCTAAAGTCTACTGGCTCTAATTAAAAGACTAAGAAGAAAGATCACAATGATCATGATGATGAGTTCCATGAGGAAACTCCTGGATAAACAAAGGTTCTATTTAATAAGGATAAGATGAAGATTCCCCCATTTTTAGGGAAAGTAGATCCTGATGCTTACCTTGAGTGGGAACGAAAAGTTGATAAAATCTTTGACTACCAACCTTATTTTAAAGATGACAAAGTCAAGCTTGCTACAATGGAGTTTCTTGATTATGCTAGCCTATGGTGGGATCACTGTACCATCACTAGAAGGCAAACAGGAGAAGGTTGAGTAAGATCTTGGAGAGAAATGAAGCATATCTTAAGAAGGCATTATGTCCCATCCTTCGAACCTAAGGGAAATTGCAAGCTTAAGGATTTCTGTAAGCCCAAAAAGCTACTATCAAATGTTGAATCTAATCATAAATCTTCTTCTTCTTCTACTTC